TAGCTAAGGATAAACTTAAACTCTTGGTCTATTTCCACCTTCTAAATGCTGGGGTTAGAGGCCTGGGACACCAACAAGGCTTCCATCTTTCCCTTCCTAAACAAATGTCAAGCATTGCCCCCGACACCTGGATTCCCCATGTTACTTTAAAAACAAAGTCGAGTACCACTTGGTTACTTTTGTTTCCTGGGTGCAGAGGTATCCCGGCACTGCTGAGTCACACCCGCAGACGGCAGAACCAGAACGTGCAATCCTGCTTTCCGGGCACTGACTTGTGTGGGCTCTGACTTGCTTGCTTCTGATAGGCTGTCTGGCTCCACCTTGCCAAAGTGAAAGTAGCTATCCAAATATTACAATTCAATAGCAGTGAACACTGAGATTAAGTTATCTATTCAATCTGTCAACCTCAACCCGTACCATTTTGGGACAATCCAGTTTTCAAATGCCCTTAGCCCAGAACAGGTTGTGTCCCTCACAGAGACGCAGGTGGCCTCCCCACCCTCAGGCCTCCTGGTGGGCATCTGTACACAGGCTGAGCTTGCTGCCTGCTTTTGTGTTCAGGAACCACAAGAGGGCGGCTTGCCCAGAGAAACCAGGTAAGAAAGTACTGTTCTTCGGAGGGTGGAGGAGACTTTGGACTTTTTCTAAACGGTTCTTGCATAAAGAAGCCTTTTTACGTCCGAGGTCACTCTTGTGCACACAGAGAGAGGATGTGCTCAGGATAAGGTTAAGAAGAGCTCTTTCCTGCATATACTTCCCCCTTTCTTTGGATATAAATATCCACCTCCTCATGTGGTGTTCTCCTCCACCCCCATCTTCCTTACCTTCAGTCTTTATTGCGGCATCGTTTATAGCTCATCCACTGTGTGCGTGAGTGCATGCGTGCGTGCGTGTGTGTGTGTGTGTGTGTGTGAGTGTGTTCTCTTGAGTGTTTGTACCTGGAAGCCAGGTGTCTTACCCATTTTTGGAGGCTATCACTGCAGACAGCACATTTTGGGGGTCTCTCCCTGCACACAGCACAGCACTCTGTTGGCTAGACTGGCTGACCAGTAGACACCAGGGATCTGCTTTTCTCTGCCCACTCTTCCGCTTCCCCTTTACCCCTCCCCCAAGTTTTAAGGTGACTAGTGTCTGTGGCTTTATATATATAATATATATAATATATATATGTATATATATATATATATATGTGCTGGGAGCTGAGTGTCACCTTGTAGCTTTGGCTTTGCTTGGAGCTCTGCGTAGCCCAGGCTGGCCTCAAATTTACTGTGTCTTTGTGTCTTTCCTGACTCAGCCTTCCGTGCTTGACTGGCAGGCGCCAGCTTCCTTGCCTGGCTTCTCTTAAGTCTGAAAATTCTATGTTCATTCACAAATCTTACTTTTCAACACGTGATCTTAGCCCAAATGCTGAGAGCCTGGGAGAGAGCCAAGGAAATCAAACCCAGCATATCCCCAGATAATATTTAGGTTTTTAACCCTTTGTTACCTTGTTTGTTGTTTTAGTCTGGCTCGTGTTCACTGAGCGGGGGAACAATCTTTAGTTACACGATAATTAGTTTCTCGTTTGTTGTTTAATGTTTATCTGTGCTTTAATTAGCATTCGTTGTGCTTACATATTTAGACTAATTAACTCTAGGAATCCTTCCTACGAGGGAAATCTGCTTTCTGCCCTGCAAACTGACAGATATTCGAGGAAAGAGGCCGCAGTCACGCTTGAGTGGCGGCAGAGAAAGGACATTTATTTCTGATGGCTAAGGTAGTTTTTAAAGAAATACATTTTCCCACATGGGTACATGACCAAAACCCCAGCACTTAGGAGGAGGGACAGAGAGAACAGGAGTTAAAGGTCAGCCTCGGCTATGTAGTTCTAGCCTAGCCTGGGCTAATAATCAAAACCGTTCCCACGTTTGTTTCCTTCCATCTGTTTCTCCTTCCCTTTCTTCCTCTTCTCTTTTCTTCCTCTTCTCTTTTCTCCTCTTCTCTTTCTCCCTTACTCTAAAAGGCAATGCTCCCACGTCTGCCTATGATGCCTTGGGCAGTGTCTGCACTGCTATGGTCGAGCACACTGACCTCTTGAGTTCCACAACTCTTCAACCTCAAGCGACCCTGCACCCGCGTCCCTCAGCCCTCCTCCGCATTGTGGCCAGCGTGCTCCTCCATGTGGTTCCAGGAAGCCAGTCTCCCTTCTCAGTTAGAAGTCTTCAGCAGCTTCCTGTGCTGTCAGATAGGAACTCCGGTTCCTCCGCTCATTCCGGCCCACCGTCCATCCCACTTGCCTGAGTACCATTCTCTTCTGTCCTGCCCTCCCCCATGCGCTCTGGAAAACATTCTCTCTCCACCCTTCATCCTTGTCTCTCGGACACATTGGCTCATCCCTTAGGACTTGACTCTTGGCTCCCTTGATTAGTCCAGCTAGAGAAGTCCTGCCTTCCTGGTTTCCTTTCGAAGCTTCTTGCACATGGTAGCTGGCCTCCTGGTTTTATAATGGTCTCTCTGCAATTCTTTGTCATAGTAATCTGCTCCCACCTAGAGAACAGTGACTTTGTCTTTCTGACTCAACATGTCTAGCCTAGGACCTGAAAATATATGCATTTTATCCACAGTTGCTGTTCCCTGGGTTTGGCAAAAAGGCCTGGTGTATGATCGGAGTTCATTTAATATGTGTTGAAAGTGTGAGTGGTGGATGTTTTTAAATGTCCTGAAATGGTTTAGTCCAAGAATTGTGGATTGAAGAGCCATCACTGTAATCAAGTCAAGGTTATATTCTATGTGACCTTATGGTATCACAGAGTTTCTAAATTTAATAGTCGCAGATAGAGTGTGTCCCCTTCCTTTGCCTGCTTTCCACCCCAGTCATTTAATTGCAAACAGCCCCCTCTGCTCATCTTTGTTGGCCTGCTGGTCCTGAGACATGTTGTGGGAGTGTGGGAAGTTGGCACTGATTGGTTCTTTTGGGGTATAGGAAGAAAATATCTAGACGATGAGCTTCGACAGCAGGAGTTGGTGTCCCCATAGTTGTCGATGCTGGAATTCAAGATCAGAGCGTTCACAAATTGGGGTTTCCAGTGTCCTCTCTTCGGCTTGCGAGTGGCTACCTTCTTTAATATTAAACACATTTATTTGTTGTTGGGTGGCAGGGCATGCATGGAGGTCAGTTCTTTCCACCGTGTGGGGCCTAGGGATCAAACTCAGTTCTGGTAGAAACCATCACGATGACCCAAGATGGCTGTCTTCTTGCTGTGTCATCTGGTGGCCAGTGACCTCATAACTCATTATGTCAGGACTCGTCCCAGTGATCTTATTTAACTAGGATCTGATCTCTATACAGCCCCCTTCTGAGCCACTGAGGGGGCTTCAGCCAATGAGGCAGCAGGACTTTATCCTGTGTGAGGCAGGGCTTCAGCTTCCATCAATGAGACAGCAGTACTGTTTATCCTGTAGGAGGCAGGGGCGGGGCTTCAGCCAATTGGCAGCAGGACTATGTATCCTGTATAAGGCAGGGGCAAGGACTCTCAGCACCTGTGGTTGCTTCCTTGTATCCAATTCCTGTTTTATAACATGTCAATAAAGAGGAGCCCAGGAACCTTCTGGGAGAGCCCAGTGTCTTCCAGTCAAATTATCTCTACTCCAAGTGCTTTGGTCTTGGGACCATCTTAAGAAACTAATGTTTCAAAATGCCGGGTAGAACTTCTGTGTTTTTCTGTCTGAAAATCTGTCCCCTTGTTTTGATCTTTTGGGAAGCTGGCCTGTGGGCTGCGCACTTCCTTTGTCGAGGGTTTGGTGGACTGGGAGATAAAAGCCAGGTAATGACATGGCACCACCTCCGTTTGCTGTAAGCAAACAGTCGGGTTCTTTATTACCCTTGAAATGGGCACTCGTGACACAGGTTGGACTCAGAGAAGCGAGGCCTTGCCAAGTGTCTGTGGGTCAAAGTTCTTTCAAGAAACAGTATGCTAATCAAAAGTTCAAGCTTAGTTAGCCTGGCCCCTGCATGGGGAGAACTTTGGAATAAATGATTACTGAGTTGGAGCGGGAGGTATCACACTTCATAACTCCTTCCTCAGAGGCTGGCTGCAGGAGCGAGGCTCTTGCCACACCGATACATTCTCCGTGGAGTGGTATTATAAAATAAAACCTGCTGCGCAGAACCTGGCTACTCAGAAGGGTTTTAGTGGCCATAAAATGCTGAACATTAGGGAGGGCTCTCTGTGTGAGCAGAAAAGCCCGCTGTAAAGGGCTTGCGAAGCCGGAGGACTATATAGACCCCTTACCCATCTTGATGTCTCTCACATACAATCACAACACTTGGGAACTGGAGGCAGGAAGATCGGGAGTTCAAGGCCAGCCTCGCCACACAGTAGGTTAGAAGTCATCCTGGGCTGTATGAGACCTGGTCACAATGCAAAGCAAGATAAGACAAATGCCCAAGACTACCCAGTTTGCAGGCAGTAGAGCTGAGTTTGTCACCTTGTTGAATCTGTAGGGCTCTCCTCCCGATTCTTCCTCTCCTTGTCGGAGTGAGACGTTTTCCCCTTGAATGTCACACAGCTAATATGAGTAGCATTGTAAACCCGTCAAAAGGATGTCATTTCTTTTCTTGGGAGAAATGTCTCATAACGCTTGGTTATATTCCTGGTATGAATGAAGACACCATGTTTTGCTTCTCTTCTCTGCCATTCTTATCAGCAGTTCTTTAAAAAAGCAAACAAACGAAAGAGCTTTCTATTACACTTCTTTCTTTTCCATGTATAATGTGTGGGGTGGGTGAGGGTGGGGAGCGTGTCCCATGGCCTACTCTTGGAGGTCAGAAGAGGAGGGGTCATTTCTCTGCTTCCATCAGCTCAGTCCTCAGGACTGAATGCAGGCTGTCGGATCAATGGCTAGCCCCATTACTCTCTGAGTTTACTGGCTGCTTCTTCTTGCTGGCCCCTATCAGGGGTTCTTGATAGACTCCTCGTTAACATGTTTGGGTTACTAATGTCATCTTCTCCATTTCACAGCTCAGGTAACAAGGAAATTAGAAGGACACCTTGCTCTGGGCCACCCAGCCCACTCGGCAGTTCCCCAGCTCACTGAAGTTTGGTAAGTTAAAGTGGCTTCACCTTGACCACTGCTCGGATGAACAGAGTACAAGTGTCCTACCGCTGTTACCTCTGCCGCTGCCTCAGCCGCCTCCCCAGTTTTTCAACTAAGTCTCTATCATTTGCTTTTATCAATAAAGTCATGGGAGTCAGATGCTGGGGTGAAAACCTGCTAGCTCAGAGAGGCAGAGAAAGTACCCAGCTGACTTTCCTCCTCTGCCAGCGTCCCAGAAAGAGGACTCTTTCCTATGCTGTTTGAAACAAAACTCCTTCAACCCGATGTCCCTCCCTTCTACTTCCTGTGCCTCCCCCACCTCTCAACCTCCCCTCGCTCTCTATGGTTACTTTCAGTCAACTCGTTGCTTACTCTGCCTCTTGACCCATGGTTGGTTTTATTTAAATAACGCAATCTCAGGGTTCACGGTGTGTGCAGATATCCTGCAACACCCAAATCACCTTGTTTTGTTTTTACTAAATATCCCAGGCAGAGTCCCCTGTATGTTTGTAAACACCAATGTCCCAATAAGAGTGGAAAAAGGAATGATTTGTCTGTTTTGCTTAGTACTGTTTTAATGGGCACATTTAGTGGTGAGTTCATACTTTGACTTTCATTGGATTAGCCTTAACTCGGCAATGCCACCCTCAGGACACCCCTACCAATCAACCTAAGACGTCTGCATTTGGGGTGTACCTCATGGAGACTTAGATTCTAGGAATCCTTAAATAACCCACATGAAGTGTTCATAGGGTGCAGTGCACCTTTTTGGGGGGTTCCTTTGCTCTTAGGCACTGATCAAAGCCAGATCTTTCAGATCTTTTCAGCATGTTTATAATCTCTCTCCAGCACCTGCCTCTGAGAATTTTACCTTAGTCTGAGATCAGAGCCATCAGTTTCCAAGCAGAAGAAAACCTGAACTTTTAGTATGAACTATTTGTTTCTTCTTTGGCTATAACTTAAACAACAATACTGTGTGTGTGTGTGTGTGTGTGTGTGTGTGTGAGAGAGAGAGAGAGAGAGAGAGAGAGAGAGAGAGAGAGAGAGAGAGAGAGAGAGAGATGCAGGGGAGTCAGAGTTTCTGATGGGAACTTCAGATTACATAGTTGAACATCTTGAGTCCTGACCCTTTCCAAACAATTGTCTTTTAGACGCCGCCATTCCAAGGAAATTCATGGATTAGGAGATAGGTAATCTACTAGTTGAAAATGTGAGCTGTGTTTGAAATGGAGAAAAAGTGAGCACATAGGACAGTTCTAACTTTTAATTTTGTGTGTGTGTGTGTGTGTATGTAGGGGCGCATGCATGCATGCCCTGTCATGTATGAAGGTCAGACAACCACTTTCAGGGATGGCTCTCTCCTATCATTTTGGTCCCAGGATCAAACTCAGGTCCTCCGGCTTGGTGGCAATCACTCCGTGTCACCAGGATTTTTGTTGCTGTGGTGGTGGTTGTGGTTAAGTGGCTGGCTGGTCATGGTCCTGAACTGAAGCTCAGCCAGTGAAATGACAAAGCTCTCAGGAACAGCTTTCCATACAGCCCCTAAACTCGGAGAACGATTCTTCAGAAAACAACCCTCTCTTTTCATTTCCAGAAGGCATCTGGAAGTGAGGGCCCTCACGTTGCACAATCCGTGTGGCCTATAATGAGGGAAACTTGGTAAGAGCAAACATCCCCAAAGGTCAGACAGAATCGAGCAGACTGTCTTTTGTTTAGCTGTGCACCAGGAGGGTCCTGTCACAGAATGTCCCTGGGTTGCTCCAAACACTCCCAGAAGAGAGGTTCTAGAAGCAAATTTTCGGCTGCTTCTGTTTTTTAACAGAATAGCTGTTTGCTTAGCACACAGCAGTGGTATTTACTGTATACAGTGTAACATTAATACAAAGAAAGGGGGAGGGGAAGACTCAGTTCAACTTGAAACCTGCCCAGGGCCACTGAAGGCAAGATTCTGAGGACTGTGCAGGGGATTATCCCAGCAAATGAGGTCTCTGTGGCAGAATCCAAGAAAAGCCACAAGTTAATAGGAAGTACGAACATTAAGTGTTAACAGCACCCCAAAGTAAATATTCAGAGCCTTCATAGTGTATTTCTTAGAAGAGGATACAGCTCCACTGTAGAGTGCATTGCACTATGAAGCTCCAGCCCCAGCCCCAGCCCGAGCATCTCACAAAGCTGCCTTCGGTGGTCCATGGTCGGCAATCCCAGCACTTGGAAGATGGAAGCAAGCCAACCAGAACAGTAGCATCCTCGGCTCCATATGGCACTTGAGACTAGCCTGGGATATAGAGACCCTATTTTTTCTTTAAGTTTTAATTAAAAAGTCTTTTCTCATTTTACATACCAATTCCAGTTCCCTCTCCCTTTCCTCCTCCTGCTCCTTCCACCGTCCGTTCCTCCCTCATCCACTCCTCATAGGGGGTAAGGCTTCCCATGGGGAGTCAACAAAGTTTAGAACATCACTTTGAGGCAGGTCCAAGACCGTCCTTCCAATGTCTAGGCTGAGCAAGGTATCCCTCCACAAGGAATAGACGCCAAAAATCCAGTTCAAGCACTACGGACAAATCCTAGAGACCCTATTTTTTTTTTAAATCACCCCCAAAAGTTTCATAGCTCCTATAATTCCTTTAACCACCTCCTCTCTGACGAATTGCTTGTCACCAAGTGAGATAATCAATTTTCAAAATGAAAATGACAGAAAGGCAGATAGGAGAGCCACAGCTTACCCAGTCATGTGGCAGACAAGGGGATGTTGACTTACAGTGGAAGTCTGTCTTCTACAAGGAAGAGGTTCATTCCACTCTACCCAGGAAAAGGAAAACTGGGCACCCACGAAGCGTGTGTCCCTTGGCAGCGTAGCAGGTTGGTGGTTCCATGCTTCGTGGAAGTGCATTTAATGGTTTGGAGAGTAGGAAGTACAGTAAGGTTCCGGTGGGTGGCCCCAGGAGGGAGATGGGGCCAGGAAGACCAGGAGTTCACACAGTGAGTTTGAAGGTAGCCTGGGGTAAATATATGACAGTCTCTCTCTCTCATACACACACACACACACACACACACACACAATACTCCTTCCAAAAAAAAATTCAAGAAGATGCAGACAAATAGGTTGAATTTGGGGGGAAAATAGCTCTTAGATTCTTAGTTAGGGTTTCTTTTTTTCTTTTTTTTTTTCTTTTTTTTTGGTTTTTCGAGACAGGGTTTCTCTGTGGCTTTGGAGCCTGTTCTGGAACTAGCTCTGTAGACCAGGCTGGTCTTGAACTCACAGAGATCCGCCTGCCTCTGCCTCCCGAGTGCTGGGATTAAAGGCGTGCGCCACCACCGCCCGGCTTAGTTAGGGTTTCTATTGCTGTGCTGTGAAGAGGCACAATGATCACGGTAACTCTTACAAAGGAAAGCATTTCATTGGGGTGGCGGCTTACAGTTCAGAGGTTTAGTCCATTATCATCATGGTGGGGAGCATGGCTGGATGCAGGCAGATGGTACTGGAAAAAGATCTGAGAGTCCTACATCTTGAAGGCAACAGGAAGTCAGCTGAGACACTAGGCAGTAGTATCCTGAGTGTAGGAAACCTCAAAGCCTGCCCCCACAGTGACCCACTTCCTCCAACAAGGCCATGCCCGCTCCAACAAAGTCACATCTCCCAATTGAGCCACTCCCTATGAAATTATGGGGACCAATTACATCCAGACCACCACAGAGTCCATCTTACCTTTGATTAAATATCAGGAGAAAAGATTAAGACTCTTGTGTAGACTCACTAATTGATTCTAAAATCAAGAAATTAAGGCCAAAGCCCAGTGTACTAGCCAAGCTTTGAACTTAGGTCTCTTGATTCTGTAATTACCTTTGCAGCTGAAGTTATAGTTTCAGTGTCTCATTACTGCAGTAGCCAATAAAGAAGAAAAACCGAAAGACCATGCATCTAAATATCAACATTCTAGTGGATTTCAGATGGTTGTCGTCCTTAGATATCTATGGGCATAGATATATATGCATATAATATATATATATATATAATTGGATTTGATTTATCCTTATTGTATGTTTGCACACACGGCTGTGCATGGTTGTTCTGCCTTATTCCTTTGATTCAGGAGCTCTGGGTCTTTAGCTAGGCTGGCAGTTAGCAGTCCCAGTGATCCTTCTGTCCCTGCCCCACAGCTGTCACCCAGGTCCTCACGGTGGTGCAGTAAACTGTGCCAACCACTGAGCCATCTTTCTAGCCCCCTGGTTTGCTTGCTTGTTTGTTCGTTTTATTTAAAGGATCATTTTCTGTATATGTACACGTGCGAAGGTTCATGTGTGAAAGCCGGCACGTGTGTGCCGCGGTATGCAGATGGAGGTCGGATTCTGTGTTGGTTCTGTTTTGTTGTGTGCAGCTTCCTGTCCCTCAGACTTCTAGGGACTCTTCTCCCTGGCCGCCCCCATGACTGTGGAAGTTATAGGGTTCTAAGAAGATGTTACTGTGCCCAGCTTTGTCTGGGTTCTGGGGATTTGAACTCAGGTCCTAACATTTGTGTAGCAAGTCCTTCACCTACTGAGCTATCTCCCCAGCCTGTTTTACATTTTTGCTGAATTGGGAGAAAAAGAGGAAAATTATGTAAGAGAAACTGTGTGGCCTGCCATCATGTGAACTATTTACCATCTGACTTTGAGCAGAGGAAACACTCGCTGCAAAGTGGCCTGCCTCGTTAGCTTCCCTAGGAAGTGGCCAGCCTCGTTACCCTTCCCTACAAATTGGCTTGCCTCAATACCTTCCCTATGAATTGGCCTACCTCACTACTCAAAAAACCATTGTCATTCACCTTCTGAGACAACGTCTCATTGTGAAGCTCAGGCTAGCTTGGAACCTGCCATATAGCTCAGACTGGCCTCAAACTTGTGGCAGGTCCTCTTGCCACTGCCTCCTGGGCTTACAGGAATGAACTACCACACTAAAGCGATACTGGCCACTCCCCAGAGCAGATCAGCGACTCCTGCACAACAGTTTAAATTCTTGTCTCTGTTTT